AGCAGGATCAAAGATTTATTATGGGCTATTTTCAGAAGTTTATAATGTAGGCATCTTGCGGGGAAAAAAAGTGATCATTTAGGTCCATGAGCAGAATGGTATATTTTTTTACGTTATTGTGTCCACTTATAATTAATAAGCAACTCATTTTAGGATGAAACTGCTACGAGTGCCAATTAAAAAATAATACGTCAAATATGATGGAGTTAGGTATTACATGGATCTTTAACACAAAAAATTCTATGAGAACATTAATGACAAAACTTCTAATTGTGAACTTAATTGTTCATTTAAAATTTTGTTTAACTGAATGACTCTGTGGCCTACCTGAGATATTTAGGTGGCTGTTTGTTCATTGCCAGGCCAAGCAATGATTTTTTCAATGAATAAAGATACAGTACATGGATCAGTGCGTCAATTAACCTCTATATGTTCATATGGTTAGATATACCATGAAGAAGAATTTGTGCCTTCCCAATAGATCACAGTAGTATAAGGAATGGGAAGCTTTTTAAAAGTGGATAGCACACGCAATAATAAATTACCACGTAACAATCTTAAGATCTACATATAATTAGAATGTTAAATCCCAACTTTATAATTACAGCTAATTGCACCTCTTACCAAAAGACGTTGCCACTCTACTGGCAGCCATCATATTTAAAGCCCCCTTCTTAAGTGTTCTTATAGCCCTCAAGATAAGAACAGGCTAGAGTAAGGATACTTTGGAAACGCACATAAGCAGCTCCTTTAAAAACATCTAGTCCTGATCTCAATATGTTATAATTGCATTTGCTGGCAGGACTGGTACATTTCAATTCACCAAAAGTCAGTGCATCTCTGAAACCCTCTGGCAACACACAAGCAGTCCGCTGGAAAGTATATAAATCCTTTTGTGATGCCATGAGGGGTTAAAGCAGTAATAAACCGATCCCTTTTACATTGATAAGTTTTCCTCTTTAAGCAACGAGGGCTTACAGGGACCTCGAAGTCTAAGGGATTTTTTGTTCTTCCCGTTCAAGAGTTCTCTAACAAGAATCACAGAAATATATAATATACAACGATTGTATTTTTTGTTTCAACTCGTAGACCCATTACAGTAGCAAAATAAGCATATCAGAATTAAAACCACG